CTCAGTTAGTTTATGGGGAATTTGAGCTAACATTTTCTACAATCCCTTTTTTCATTTTGAAAGTAGTGACATAACAGTAACAATTTGTATTTTTTATATATACATTAATGCTATTAAAATTAATGCTAAAATTGGAATATGTGGTTCTATCTGTAAATCATGGCCTAAACTATGTTTGCCTATAAAAATAAATACATTTTCATTCACTAAAAATATATTATTCAATTCATGGGCATATTGATTTTTTTTTATCATACTTAATAAATCACAAATTGCATTTATTAGTTTTTCACATCTTTAATTTCATTTAGAAAAGCACAACTTGGTTTACAATTCATTGAATTACAGTCTTTTTTCAAATACTTATTGCCTACCAATAGTATATGACAGTGATTCCATTGCATAAATCTTATTATTAACCATTAGTTTTCTATCATTATTAACTAGAATGTTGATATTCAAGTGTTATGGATACAATGAGAAATTACAAAAATACAATTAAACTAATTAATTATTTTATGAGTTAACCACATTTTAAAGTTCTAAGCAATGTGTAGTAAAATAAGTATATAAATCTAACGAAAATTAAATTTTTCCAATTTACTGATAGAATAATCACAGACATTAAGCCATTGTGGGATTTGACTTGAATTAATTGTAATTTGTATGATTTCTAATTCCGTAATGATTTGAAATTATACAAATTCTACATCAATGTAAAAAAAAAAAGGCATTCCAGCTTATTTTTAATGATTATAGATTATAGTAAATTAAATGAATTTTTTTTATTTCTTAGTGCTGAAAACTCTAAAAAAATTAAAAAATTTGAAGAAAAAATAGAAACATTGAAGAAAGAAAAAGAATCTATGCTTACAGAAATTCAACGTTTGGAATTACAACTCAGTAGCACAGAATCAGAGAAAAATAAAATAGCCCAAGAACTTTTGGATAAGAATTCCTATTTTGAAAATGGTATGTGTACAAAGAATTTCCTTTGTGCTATTTTCGAATAATATTGCTTTTACAATAATTCTATAATTTTTTTTTAATCTTTTATATGTGTAAAATATTAAATGAATTTTTTAAGTATAACCAAATAAAAAAATGCATTATAAAATTTCATATTCAAAAATAATTATGATTAAACAATTTTTATTATTTTGTTGATTTGCTTAATTTTTATTTTAATTATTAATTAAGAAAATATTAATTAAATTGTGTACTATTAAATATTGAAAAAAATAAATATGACTGGTGATGATGATTTCAGAAAAGTAAACATTTATAATAAATTTAAGTATATTATTTTGATACTAGTGATTATTTTGTACATAAACGTTTTTATAATGAATCATAGTATAAAATTTTTTTTAATTAATTTATCTTGGCAAAAGAATACTCTTTGTTTCTTATTTTCAAAATTATTTCTATGTTTTATTTTATAAGTTAACATTATTTTTGTAACTAAATATTAAATATATTAGTTTGAAATACGAAAATTAACATTTTATTTTTAATTCCAATTATTTGGAATTGCAATTTATATGCAATATAAATATTGCATAAAAATATAAAAAGGTTTAACATTTAACTTTAAATGCTAATGTAATTATTGCATATAAGTTTATTTGATTACATAATCAATGCTATAATTGAATTAAATTGTTTTTGTGTATTGCAGAGAAAACTTCAAAGACTCTATTAGAAGATCGAATTTCTCTTATTCAAAATCAATTGAAGGATGAACAGTCTTTAAATAATGTGATAAACAAGTCTTTGGAGGATTGTAAAAATCGCCTAAAGGTAGCACAAAACGAAAATAGTGAACTCAAAAAACAAATTGAAGATATTCAGCAGAAATTAAATGGTTTGTTCAGTTTATTCATTGTTTATTGTTTGAGAATCAATATATGCATTTCAAATAAGTTGTTATTTAACCTAATTTCATTGTGCTGTTTGATTTCATGCGAATCATTAACTATTGACAAAATTGAAAACCAGAAAAAATATTTCATTATTAATTTCTTGTTTTAAAAAAAAATATAGGAAAAAAATATCTCATGGCTTTTTATTATTCATTTATTTAAATATAAATCTTAGAAAAAATAATTGAATAAAAATATTAAACAAATAACAATAGAAGAATTTACACATTAAGTATCTAAGATTATTTATTTAAAAAAATGTCTCATACAAGTTAACACTTGTGCCATCAGTACTCAAGCTCTCTAGTATTTCTCAACAATACGATTAAAACCATTTAGGGCAGAACACACATCTAAATGTTCAACTGTCAGAGGTTGATGAGAGTCACAAAGAGTACAATCCGAGAAGATGGCAATATTGATATGGAAGAGATGAGATCTCAGACAGTCATGATTTGTTAAAAATCTAAAGTGTATGATAGCAGCTTTTCTTGGGGCACCAGGAGCACAAGTGTTTTCCACATTAAGGATTGCCAAGTTCTTGCCCTTAGATGCCTCCACTGCTTCTGATTTAAAGTTGCATTTGAAAGTCATATTTGTCAAAAGCCTTGAAGAATGAAATGATAATTCCCTTGTGGGTCTCTGGGCCTCCAAGTCCCAACAAGTTGATTCTTAACAAGTAGGTCCACTTCTTCGTTTCCTACGATTCCGCAGTGTGACGGTACTTACTAGAAGGATACTTTATGAGCAAGATCTTCAAAAAATTTTCGCCTGTGAAACTGTCTGAAGATCTGTATCGGAACAAAAGCTCTATTAAAAACAGGCTCAGTCTGTGGAAGTCGTTGAATCGCAATAGCCTCAATTTCACCTTCAAAAACAGTAGTGAATTAGCCCATGGGCCAACAAAAATAAAAAAGCTCACAATAACGCCAGAATCTAAGATTATCAAAAAAAATAATTTTACCTTGTTCAATTAACTGTATTGTTTTTGTGTTATTCAGATGTAACTTTTTTTGCATCTGAGCTTTGTCATTTCTTTTTATTAAAGTAAGGAAATTAACTAAATTTGTGTCAGATTGTTTTTTTGTTTTATTGAATTAAAAAAAAAGAGTTTATCTTTATTAAAAAAATATTATTTATTTATTTAAGTATAAGAATAAACAGTTAAAATATCTGTAATGATTATTTTTTATCTCACCAGTTATATTCATGTTAATTTGTTTCAATTCTAAAATTTTCAGAAAAAGATATTTCTACATCTAGACTCCAGAGTCAAAACAAGGAACTCAAAAGTACATTAAGAGAAGTTGAAAAGTCCCGTCAAGAAACAAAACGTGAAGTTCATAATTTAAAGAGAAGTATTTTTAGTCTTGAAAAATCACTGAATACTAAAGAGGAAGAAATAAATGAATTAAACATGTTGCACAAAAGAGAAGAAGAAATGCAAGAAGCATTAAAAAATGAAATTGTACAATTAAAGCAAAAAGTAAGTAACATTAATATGTGATTACAGAATTAATTTTTTTAAACTTTCCTTTTGAGCTTAATCAATTCAATTAAGTTATTATTTATATTTAAATATGAGATTTTTTTTTTTTTTAAATAAGTAGCGTTACTTTTGCATAAAAGAATGTACTATCAAAGATTTCTGTTGTTTCATTACACATTGATATAAAAATCAATCAAATTTCATCATAAAAAATTATTATTTTGTTTTTATACTTGTTAAAAATAAAAATTTCTAAAGTAATAAAATGTAAAACGATTGTTATACATATAAGAGCTCTCCTTTTCTCTCTCTCTATATATAGGGAGAGAGAGAGCTGATAGATTAAGCATCTTATAATAAATTAAATGGCCTATTTGATTCCCTGACATTTTTGTAATATGAGTTTTCATTTTTTTTTTTTTTTTTTGCTAATAAGATAAGTTTATCAGCATAAATTATATTAAAAATTCTATAATTTTATTTACAAATACTGACAATAAATAGTTTAATGCAGTGTTAATTGTGCTCTGAAATTTCAAAAGATTTTGAAAATTCCATGCTACCATTAAAAAAAGCAATGTTACATATTCTGAAAGAATGTTTTTTTCAAAATTGTTTGCTTCTCCATTGCTGAAATAAATATGCTTAAAAGTTGTTTGAATTCTGTGGACAATGGTAAAAAACAATCTAGTACATGCATTTAATGAGCCATATGTCATATTCTTTGCAGTTTTACACACTTCATCAGCAAAATTGCCGAAAAGCAAAATTCATCAGTAAAAAGCTAAAAAATCAAAAATTATCAGCAAAATTGCTGATGAAGTGTGTATCTGTTTCATTCATAATTAAGTCTTAATCTGTTTCATTCATAATTTCAAAGAATTTGATTGGCAAGGATTTCAGAAAATTTCACAATAAATTCTATCAATTTAATATCATTAATTTCCTTTTTTTTTTTTTTTTTTAATTTATAACTATATAAATTTAATATTTTTTTGCAAAAAAAAAATGAAAATTTTTAAATTAATTTATTTTTTACCTTTTAATAACATTTTTTGACATTTAATGCTTTAGGTAATGGAGTCCAATGCTTCCAACGAGGCTGTCTCTAAGGAACTTTCTATCTCAAGGATGAAGTTATTGGATGTGGAACACAAATTTAGAATGCAGCAAGAACAACATCAATCACTTTTACAAGACTGCTTGTCCAGTGAACAAAACTTTTCAGAGCATCGCGTTAATCTTGAGAAATCAATGGCTGAAAATTCACGTGACCTTCAAGCCTTGCGTTCTGCTCTGAATTTTGAAGAAGGAAAAGTTCTAGCCCTAGAAAATAAAGTTGTTAAATTAGATGGTAAAGCTATGTTTCAATAATTTTAAAAATAAATTTAAGAATTATTGAGGTAACATTTATAAAAATATAAATTGTTTAACTGTATATTTCTTTATTTCTGAATGTATAGTAAATCCCAAAGCACTATAAGAAATTATCTGCTATTAATTTAATATCATTTGATTACTGTGAACTGCATTTGAGAGTCAATTAAAATGTGTTAAAAGTTATTTAAAAATTAAAAATATCAGCCAACGGCCATACCATGCTGAATATACCGGTTCTCGTTACATCACCGAAGTCAAGCATCATTGGGCGCGGTCAGTACTTGGGTGGGTGACCACCTGGGAACACTGCGTGCCGTTGGCAAATTTGGGACCTGAATCTGGCGCTCGGTGCCACAGGTTTCGGATTCGAATCCCGGCGGTGCCATGGATGTTTGTAGTGGTTCGGAATCCACTTTAAGCCGTAGGTCCTGGTCTCCTATGACTGTAAGAGCGTCACGGAGCAAAAGTCAGGCTTCTACCTATAGGTGCTCCATCACAACAGAAGCTGCTTCCTTCCCCTTCAATCATGAGTACGTATGGGCTCGTGGGCTTGGCCAGCCAAGTGGGATAAGAAACAACAAACACACCTAAAAAAAAAATTTTTTTAACCTAAAAAAAAAAAGCTGTGTTCTTAAAAATTTTGATTAAAAAGAATTCTCTTTAAACAAACTACTCCCCAAAATGTTCTTCATTTGGGTTATAATTGCCTGAATTGCTGGCCAATTTATGACCTTCTTTAAAACAAAATTCTTCCGAATTTTCTGATTTATGGGTGTAGTCTCATAAAAGTGAATAAAAAATTGCATAAAAACAAATTATTTTTGAAGTTTTAGTTTGCATAAAAAGTTTAGGTGTATTTCTTGTATTTTTAAGCAAATGAAGAAACTATGATTTAATTTTTATTGTTAGTGTGATACTGAAATGAATCATAATTTGTTCAAATGAATTTAGGTATAGTGGCATATTTTTACGATAGATTATTGTATTGATAAAAACATTAATGCATTTTTCATCAAAATGCTTTATAAAAATATATTCTTTCAATTTTTTAAGTTTAATTAGCTAGTTTAAGCTTATTTATGCTTAAACTATCTAATCATGCTTAATTTTAACCAATAACCTTTTAATTATGCTTAATTTACCCTTATTGTCTTTGATTTAAGAAAACTATTTAAATTTGTATTTTAAACAAGTATTTTTATTAAAAAAAATTTATTACCTAATATTGTTTAGACTTTTAAAATGTTTTCTTAGCTTATTGTTCAATTTTAAAAAGAAACCTGATGATTTTATAAAAAATAATCAATTTACTACCTCGCAAAATTTATTGATTTGTCTATGCATTTATCTATAATTATGTATTTATCTATTGATTTGTCTGTATTTTGTCTTATTATTACAGTATTTATGAAAATTGATAATATTTTTTACATTAATCAAACTTGTTTCATCATTATAGGTGCCAAAAGAGAAGTAGAAACCAAGTTATATTCTATGTGCTTATTTCTACGATCTATTCTGGGTTTGGGGTCAGATAGTGGATTCATGAGTGTGAGTTCTAACCTGCATTCAAGTCCTGGACCTTCACGCGGGGCTTCTTCAGAAAAGCTTGCAGAAATTAGTCGTTCATCTGTACGTGACAGTCCACACCGACTCAATTTGTCTAAGAGTAGCTATCCGGCTCAATTTAGTCTTTCTGATTTGGATATAGATTTACTGAAATCATCTTTAAAAGACCTAGTACATAAGTTTAATGCACTTGAAAAAGAGAGAGTAAGTCATTTACATTTATCTCAAACGAAGTGTTTAAAATTTAGTGTAGTATTATATGTATACAATGTGCAAAAACTTAACCATATACTGGGTTTTTTTCCTCCCTTTTTACTCTGCAAAAAAAAAAAAATGCTTGAAAAATTTGAAATTTAAAATACATAATAGTACTTTAATTAAAAGTTGAAGCACTTACACAAAAATGAATAGACTGAATGCATTTCATGCTGTATGGTTATCAAAGAAAAAAGTCTTTATCGGAAGAATAATCTTAGTACAAATACTTGTCTACCCAAATAGGGTTAACAATAAGCAGATGGATATGATCTCCTATAATTGCAATGGTTACTTAGCACTGATTTTCTTTATTGAACACCACATTATCCAACAGTTGTTGAGGTAAGAGTGGCCATTCCTCAATGAGCATCTATTTCAGTTTTTTTTTTTTTTTTTCCATTAGATTTAGTCGTGGAGAAAGTCAGTTGACCAAAGCATCATTCTCATGTGCTGTGGGATTTAAATCGGGAATAAGGTGACCAATCCATTCTATCGATATCTTCATCTTCTAAAAGCTCCTCAACAAGCCAGGTTTATAATATGACCTGTGCGGCAATGTGGTTATCTTTGATAACACCATAGATATCTTAAAAGCTAAGTCTGAACCTCTGTACCCTCAGAACAGACGCAACACGGGGGAGAATCACTTGCTGACGACAGTGATCCCTAATAGCAATACCTCCATCATAAAGTTAGAATTTGTAATGCATCAGGGTGGCGATAGAACCGGAAAATCAGGAAATTTTAATCTTAAAAATATCTAAATCGGAGAAAATTGCCGAAGAACATTTCATGCCCACAATAAGCAATTTTTTAACCCAGCATGCTTGCCAACACACATCATTACCCACTTTATGGCAACTTTACTTTCATCTTTTTTTTTATGATGGGCTGCCCAGTTTATGATTTATCTCATTTTTAAAATGGTGCATTGATTAGTGTGTGTGTTTGCTTTTATTTGTGCTTACCTCTGCTCATGCTATTTGCTGAAGCCAATTTTAAAAAGTAAGGATTTTAATGTTTTTTAATATTTTATTCATTATTAATAGTTTATTAATTAATTTAAATTCTTGAGAAATATTTTTTGCACATTAAATAACTTGTTAAAGTGTTTTTAATAACATATATTGTACACATACAGCGATACTGTGTAGGGAGAAAGCCAGTAAGCTAATATAATTAGTAGCTGTAAGTTTGGGAAAAAAAATTTCACATTTTCTGTAGCCACCCTGTGCATCCTCATACAAATATCCCAGAACCATTGTAACGGCCTCTTTCTCTTGTGTTAGTTGGATAAAACCGTTTCCCTATCTCTCATGTCAAATAGCATTGACAATCGCTCGTGACACTAAAGTGATACTCGCCCGTAAAGAGAACTTGACTCCGTTCATGAGATGTCTATTGTTTGTGTTCTTTACATTAATCTAAACAGTCGATCTAAAGGCAGTTGTTCGTAGTATGTAACATTGTCTAATAGGCCTCTTTTATGAAAGTGTCTGACCATTACCCCATTGTCGTACGCAGCTGTTAAATCATATTGCCTCTATTTGATATGTCTTTTTTACCTACATCAGTATATTGGTCTTCATAGGACTGTTTCTCTGGGTCAGTTATCACCAACCTTTCTTGCAGATGTGCTTGTGGTTTGGAAAACTTTTTCAGGTTTGTGCGTGAAGTGACACTTTTATCAATTCAAAATTCTTAGATGACCATATTTCATGTATGAATTAGCTTGAACTTGCAGAGAATGTCTGTAATAGCACTATTTTTCCTTTTATTTTTTTAATTCTAATCTTGAACTGCACATATTTTTTGTGCCCTCACACTAAATACGACTTCTTGTTCCTGATATTAGCATATGAATAATGAATTGGTGGCATACTAATTAAAACACATCTTTTTCTACAATTCTATGGCTTCTACTTAAAAATTACATTGTTACTTAAAATTTGCATGCCAGCAATCCATGCTTATTTAGAAATGTATCCTTTATAGTAATCCATGTAAAACTAATTGATAACATCTGTTGGTTAAACTTTTTATTAATCATATCAATATTTACTGAGATAGAATGTTGCAAAACGATTAGTTAGTAAGTATTAATTTTAATTGAGATTTAATCTCAACTACTCCACATAAATGATGTAATATCTGAATAGGTAAACTTGTAGGTCATTAACAAAAGGTTCTCCGAAAATTTGGTGAATTTTTCTAAAATATTTTATAAATCTTGTTACACTTTTTTTTTTCTTTAGTTAAAATTTATGAAAAATAGGAATAGCATTCTGAATGCATCATTCGGAAGTTAATGTGTTGTTTTAAATTATTAATTTGACAAGTAATGCAGTAAGTTTTTGTTTGAGTGCAAAATTTTATTTTTCTGGTAAATTTTAAGTTATATTCAACAATTTATTACATTGACACTTAATTGTTACACTTTTTACGATTATGACAATACTTACTGTATTGCCATAATAATAAAATATGTAATATTTATATTTTTGTAAATATTTGTTTTTTTACAAGACATTCTAAATTTTAGTATTATTTTTTTAAAAATATCTCCAAACATAATTTTTTTTTAATATTTTATCTTTTAGAAGAATATTATTAAGGTTTTATGTAAAAATATTGATGTACATATTGTTGATCTTGCATACATACTGCTAAAAATTGCATTTATTTTTAATTCAAGGATGACTTGAAGGACGTTGTAGCAAGACTACAAAGAGGAACAGATGAATTAAAAGGAGAGCACAGTCAATGCATTTCAAAAATATATCAACTTCAGAGGGATTTAGAAGGTATGTTTGTTCCATTTCTAATAAAATTATTTTTTTTTATATTATCTGCATATGCATTTTTTATACTTATATGAATAAATTTTTTTTTTTGTAACAAATATTACTTTTTATATTATTTGTTATTGCAACCTCAGAGATGAATTAAGTTTTAAATTTCAAAGATTGAAATAACCTTTTTGTTTTTATAAAGAATTTAAAGTGTGTAATTTTATTTTGTGTTTATTAATTAAAATCTTTGCAATCGGAAAAGCAATTTTTATTTAAATATTGACACATTATAAATTATGTAATTATAATTTTAATTATATTTATAAAAAAATCTGAATTTGAAAAATAAAAAAATTTTATTGCGTTTGCATGATGTTCACTCATTTTAATTTGCATATTTATCTAAAATACAAAGTATAATTAACTTCAATTTTACAAGGAAAAATTTAGTACTTTACAAATTTTTTATCTATTTATTTTTGACAGATAAAAGAAATGTTGAAAAAGATCTTGCAACAAAGATAGCCAGCATTCATCATTATGAAGAAGTTATACGAACTCTAGAGAGAGAAAAAAGAAGACTTACTGAGAAAATAGGTAGTGCGGAATTTTTTTCATCTTCTAGTAACAAAGAGAGAGAAAATCTCCTTGTAAGTTGACATATTTTTTTTAATCATTAAATTGTATATCTAAAAAATT